GATAGAGTGGATTGGGGCTTCATGATGGACAACTTAGAAGTGCTGGGGATTGGAGAGAGAATGCGTGAGTGGATAGGTAAATATATACAGGGAGCCCACCGCAATTATTACGGTAAAATGGAGAGAGATCAGAATCCATAGGGATGTCCAATGGAACAAGACAGGGCTGTCCTCTGTCCCCCCTGCTATATGTTTTGTCATTGGAACCTTTGTTGTCAATGATAAGGAATAGTTGTGCGGTAAAGGGAATCCAGATCGAAAATATAGAACACAAAGTAGCGGCCTATGCAGATGACCTATTATTCTATGTAGGTAACCCCGAATAACATTACCAAATATAATGACATTTTTGAAGGAGTATGGGGAACTATCAAACTTAAAAAATTAATCCAACAAAATCAGAGATCCTGAACATCAATATATTAAAGAGTGAAAAGGAAAAGTTACAAAAAGAATTCCCCTTTATATGGAGAGAAAAAGATTTAAAATACCTAGGGATAAAACTTGCTATCTCTTACAAACAACTGTATAGATTAAACTATATTTCCTTAATAAATGAGATCAAGGAAGAATTGAAAATATTAGGAGGAAACCCATCATGGATAGGACGTATAAACCTAGTTAAAATGGTAATTATACCTAAAATACTGTATAGATTCCAAATGGTTCCGATCAAACTCCCAGAGGCTTTTTTTAAGATAATAAAAAAAATGTTAACAAGATATATTTGGAGGAATAAAAAACCAAGAATATCATATGAAATACTGAGTAGGACTAAAGAAAAAGGGGGAATGGGACTACCCGACGTCAAGAGATATTATAAAGCAGTAATTTTAGCAAGAATTTATGATTGGACATTTAACCAGAAGGGGAAGAGTTGGGTAAAAATTGAAAATGCACTGAGTGGGATTAGTTTGAGTAAGATGATATGGATTCCAGCACATTTTAGAAAAATTAATGAAAACACAAGTAATTACACTTTAAATGTTCTAAGGGTATGGGATAATTTACACAAAAATATGAAATGGGAATTCAACTCTATATTAATGCCTCTTGCAAATACTGATTATTTCCCCCCAGGAAAGGATGAGATATCAGGGAGATGGTTTGAGAGGGAAGATGTCCAACTGAGAGATGTACTGGTAGAGGGGAAATTGAGATCATTTAAAGAACTTAAAGAGAAGAAGGGAGATATTTTTATTAGAATAGATGAGTGGAAATTTCACCAACTAAAATGCTTTATTGGGAAATTACCAAAACCCTTGAGATTAAAGAAGGAGTGGAATATGTTTGAAAGGTTGTTAGAAACACGTAGAGATGGGAAACATGGTATTGCTAAAATTTATAGAATACTCACAGAATTAGACACAGACACAAAGTTAATTTTTATAACGAAGTGGGAAAGAGATATGGAGGTGGTGTTAGATGAGATCAACAGAAAAAGATATTTAGATTGACACATGAGAACGTTAGTATGAGAGAAGTGGAGGTTAATTATAAATGTTTGACACGATGGCACACATTACACCGAGTATTGAGCACAGGATGAGTGGGGAGAATTCAAAAATGTGTTGGAGAGGATGTGGAGAGATAGGCACGGTGTTTCACATGTGGTGGCAATGTCCGAAAATTCAGGCTTTTTGGAAAACAATAGTTAAATTGATAGAAATAATAACTGGAAATGACATAGGGTTAGACCCAACGATGTGTCTTCTACATAATGTTGAGATAACAGTAAATAAATATAAAGAATCAGGCGTATGGTATTATTTAAATGCTGCAAAAGGGTTGATACCCAAGTTCTGGCAGAAAACAGAGGTGCCGAAGGAGGAAGACTGGATCAATAGAGTAAATCAGATCAGTAAAATGGGAAAAATCTTACTATATGCAGGAAGATAGGCTGGGAACATACTATTCAAGATGGGAAAAATGGGAAAAATCAAAAGTGAAAGAGAAATATAGAAAATCTTAAATTAGGAAGTTATTTAAAGTGATTGGGCCTCGTGAGACTGGAAAACTTGCAGAGGGGAGGGAGGGAGAGGGAGGAGGGGAATGGGGGGGGGGGGGGAGGGAAAGAAAAGAGTTATTAGAAGGGGTAAAATAGAAATGTTAAGACTACTTAAATGTATTGTGTTTCTTTTTATGAAATTTTTTGTAATAACATGAAAAACCAATAAATATTTAAATAAAAAAAAAAAAAAAAAGAATGTCTTGGTACATTTTTCCATTCATCCTTCCTTCAACGATATGAAGTTTGTCAGTACCATATGCTGAAAAACTGCCCCATACCATGATGTTCCCACCTCCAAACTTCACTGTTGGTACGGTGTTTTTTGGGGCGATGTGCAGTGCCATTTGGCCTCCAAACATGGTGTGTATTATGGCATCCAAAGAGTTCAGTTTTGGTCTCATCTGACCAGACTATATTCTCCTAGTATTTCACAGGCTTGTCTAAATGTTGTGCAGCAAATTTTAAATGAGCTTCAACATGCTTTTTCTTCAGCAATGGAGTCTTGCATGCATACAAGCCATGGCGGTTGAGTGCACTACTTAGTGTTTTCTTTGAAACAATTGTGCCTGCTAATTCCAGGTCTTTCTGAAGCTCTTGACAAGAGGTTCTTGGCTCTTGGAAAACTGTTCTGTTAATACTTTTCAGTCCTCTATCAGAACTCGTGTGAGGAACACCTGGTCATGGCCTGTTTATGGTGAAATGATGTTCTTTCCACTTCCAAATTATGACCCCCAACAGTGCTCACTGGTACATTCAGAATATTAGAAATCCTTCTGTAACCAATTCCATCAGTATGTTTTGCAACAATAAGGTTGTGAAGGTCTTGAGAGAGCTCTTTGCTTTTACCCATCATGAGATGTTTCTTATGCGACACTTTGGTAATGAGATATCTTTTTTAGGCCATCAGTTTAGACTGAACCAGCTGATATTAATTTGTACGGACAAAGGCAGGATTGTTTTCTATTTACTGATAGATTTCATCTGGTGTCTTGGCTTTCAATGCCTTTTTGCATGTGTTCAATATTTTTTCCCTGTATCATTCCATTTTATTACACATAACTTAATTTCTGAACTTATAATATAGGGAGTATAGGCAGGTGCAGTTTGGCCTCTCTGCAAAGGTGTTACTGTTTGGCAGACCCATGCAGAGAGAGCAGAGGACAGGAGGAACCCGTGGACTGGCCAGCTATGGTGGACTCACCTGCCTTTTGATCTGCAGTACCAGGGCTGGCCAGCGGGTGTTCCCAGCAATCAGAGACTCAACTTTGCAGCCAGCTAACACCTGTAACTGATTATGCTGGGGTATTTAAGGGAGGCCAGACCCACAGACTCTGCCTTGGTGTGTGTTTGTCCTGGGCCCTGTATCCTGTTTCTGTCCTGCATCCTGTTTCTGAACCGCTGCTGACTTCTCCTGCTCTGATCCCGGCTCGCTCCTGACCATCCCTCTGTCTGACCCTCTGTACCACGCTGCTTGCTACCTGTTCTGATCCCTGGCTTGTGACCCTGACCAATCTCCGCTTGCTCCCCCTGTACCTACCTGCCCTATTGATATTGACCCGGCCTGCCTGACGACGCTTGCTTGTATGTACTGTTATCTGTGGGTGGTTTGGTTTGGTTTGTTTGCACTGTATTATGTTTTAGTATTGCACTGCGTTTATGTTTGTATTGTTAGTGTTAATAAATTATATTGTTTATAACATATCTGAGGTCTGCGTTTCCCTGCGTCAGTCACACATCTCTGGTCACACCTGGGAGCCCTGACATTACACCAAGGCCAATCCTGACCAGAAGTGGCTGCACAGGGAAGCCATCTTGGCTTGTTGATGGGAAGGATGGATCTGGATGAGGTTGAGTATTTATCTCTGCTAGTGCTTGATGACAGAGAGTATGCTTATCAGACTCTGAAGGAGTATCCCCGGGATGAACTGCTAGAATGTATACGGCTCGCTCATGTTCTAGTAGATCAGGGCACAGATTTCTCTATGGTGCAGCCATTGATTCAGGTTTGTGTTGAGTTGGTTTCATCTGGTTCCCCCGAATGCAGGGATGAATTTTTGCCACCATTTAGTGCAGACCAGGTTGAGTCCCTGGTGTGGTTATTAGAGGATGATGTGGGTTACTTTCTGGAGCGTTATTCCACATGTTCACCACAGACACTAAGAGATTGTATAAACGCAGTGCAGTCATTGACCAGACAGGCTTTGTGTAAGCTCAGCTTTGTTCAACCCCTACTGCAGACATGGACAGACTTGTTGCACCCAGCCTCAGTCAGCTTACAAAAACCCAGTCCTGCTTCTAACTCTACTCCTGTATTCCACCAGCTCCTCCAGTTACAGCCCAGTATACTTGGCTATCTACCGCATGTCAGTACCCTGTTCCCACTCGCTGCACCTATCCTGCCTTTAACCCTGTAAAAAAGCCCTCTGTAGCAACTGCTCCCTCTCCTGTTCCATCCTCCAGTTTTTCTCTGTCTCCAGCTGCTCCATTCGTTTGCAGACCTGCGTTTACTTGCAGTGCTCCAGTAGTTAAAACCAGAAAAAAGCGAAAATTCTTTCCAACCAATACCATCCTGCCAGTATCCAAACCGGTGAACCTGCCTCCTTCCTGACTCAGCCTGAAGCCTCTACTCAGCCGGATGCCTCTCCTCAGCCGGATGCCTCTCCTCAGCCTGATGCCTCTCCTCAGCCTGATGCCTCTCCTCAGCCTGAAGCCTCTCCTCAGCCTGAAGCCTCTCCTCAGCCTGAAGCCTCTCCTCAGCCTGAAGCCTCTCCTCAGCCTGATGCCTCTCATTCAGCCAGCCTGATGCCCGCTACTCAGCATGATGAACTGATCCAGCCCCGATCCGAGCCCGACGATCCTATTAGGCCAGTTGACTCGATGCCCGCTGTTGATCCAGATGATCCGGTACCTGATCCAGTGCCCGCTGTCGTGCCAATTGACTCAGAGCCCGCTGTCATACCTGGTGACCCGGTGCCCACTGCCTTGCCAGATGACGCGGTGCCCGCTGGCAAGCCAAATGACCTGATGCCTGGTGACCCAGTGCCCGCTGTCATACCTGGTGGTGACCCGATGCCCGCTGTCGAGCCAGACAATCCGATACCTGATGACCCGGTGCCCACTGTCGTGCCTGTTGACTCGGAGCCCACTGTCTTGCCAGACGACTCGGTGCCCGGTGCCCGCTGTTTGCCAGACGACTCGGTGCCCGCAGTCTTGCCAGACGACTCGGTGCCCGCAGTCTTGCCAGACGACTCGGTGCCCGCAGTCTTGCCAGACGACTCGGTGCCCGCAGTCTTGCCAGTTGACTCGTGACCCGCAGTCTTGCCAGACGACTCGGTGCCCGCAGTCTTGCCAGACGACTCGGTGCCCGCAGTCTTGCCAGACGACTCGGTGCCCGCTGTTCCGCCAGTTGACTCGATGCCCGCTGTTCCGCCAGTTGACTCGGTGCCCGCAGTCAGACGACTCGGTGCCCGCCAGACGACTCGTGTGCCCGCAGACGACTCAGTGCCTTGCCAGACGACTCGGTGCCCAGTCTTGCCAGTTGACTCGGTGCCCGCAGTCTTGCCAGTTGACTCGGTGCCCGCAGTCTTGCCAGACGACTCGGTGCCCGCAGTCTTGCCAGACGACTCGGTGCCCGCAGTCTTGCCAGAGTTGACTCGTGCCCGCAGTCTTGCCAGTTGACTCGATGCCCGCAGTCTTGCCAGTTGACTCGGTGCCCGCAGTCTTGCCAGACGACTCGGTGCCCGCAGTCTTGCCAGACGACTCGGTGCCCGCAGTCTTGCCAGACGACTCGGTGCCCGCAGTCTTGCCAGACGACTCGGTGCCCGCAGTCTTGCCAGACGACTCGGTGCCTGCTGTTCCGCCAGTTGACTCGATGCCGATGCCGCTGTTCCGCCAGTTGACTCGGTGCCCGCAGTCTTGCCAGACGACTCGGTGCCCGCAGTCTTGCCAGACGACTCGGTGCCTTGCAGACGACTCTCGGTGCCAGTTTGACTCGTGCCCGCAGTCCGCCAGTTGACTCGGTGCCCGCAGTCTTGCCAGACGTGCCCTCGTCTTGCCCGACTCGGTGCCCGCAGTCTTGCCAGTTGACTCGGTGCCCGCAGTCCTTGCCAGACGACTCGGTGCCCGCAGTCCCAGACGACTCGGTGCCCGCAGTCTTGCCAGACGACTCGGTGCCCGCAGTCTTGCCAGACGACTCGGTGCCCGCTGTTCCGCCAGTTGACTCGGTGCCCGCAGTCTTGCCAGACGACTCGGTGCCCGCAGTCTTGCCAGACGACTCGGTGCCCGCAGTCTTGCCAGACGACTCGGTGCCCGCAGTCTTGCCAGATGACTCGGTGCCCGCTGTTCCGCCAGTTGACTCGATGCCCGCTGTTCCGCCAGTTGACTCGGTGCCCGCATCTTGCAGAGACGACTCGGTGCCCACTGTCGTGCCTGGTGACTCGGTGCCCGCCGCTCGTCTGGGGGCCCGAGACCTGTTGCTCCGCCTGAGGGCCCGAGACCTGTCGCTCCATCTGGGGGTCCGGCGCCCGCCGCTCCGCCTGAGGGGCCCGAGACCTGTAGCTCCGCCTGGGGGTCCGGCGCCCGCCGCTCCGCCTGGGGGGCCCCGCCCGCCCGCCCCGCCTGGGGGCCCGCGCCTGTCGCCCCGCCCCGCCTGGGGGCCCGATGCCTGTCGCCCCGCCTGGGCCCGATGCCTGTCGCCCCGCCTGGGGGGCCCGATGCCTGTCGCCCCCTGGGGGTCCCGGCGCCTGCCGCTCCGCCTGAGGGCCCGAGACCTGTCGCTCCCCTGGGGGTCCGGCGCCCGCCGCTCCGCCTGAGGGCCCGAGACCTGTCGCTCCGCCTGGGGGTCCGGCGCCCGCCCGCCCCGCCTGGGGGGTCCGAGGCCTGTCGCCCCGCGGGGGGTCCGAGGCCTGTCGCCCCGCCTGGGGGTCCGGCGCCTGTCGCCCCGCCTGGGGGTCCGAGGCCTGTCGCCCCGCCTGGGGGTCCGATGCCTGTCGCCCCGCCTGGGGGTCCCGATGCCTGTCGCTCCGCCTGGGGGGCCCGATGCCTGCCGCCTCCGCCTGGGGCCCGAGACCTGTCGCGCCCGCCTGGGGGTCCGTGCCCGCCGCCCGCCTGAGGGCCCGAGACCTGTAGTTCCGCCCGCCTGGGGGTCCGGCGCCCGCCGCTCCGCCTGGGGGCCCGAGCCTGTCGCCCCGCCTGGGGGTCCGGTGTGCCCGCCGCCCGCCTGGGGGCCCGGTGCCTGTCGCCCCGCCCGGGGGCCCGGTGCCTGTCGCCCCGCCCGGGGGCCCCCGGTGCCTGTCGCCCCGCCCGGGGGCCCGGTGCCCTGCCGCCCGCCCGGTGGCCCGCCTGCCTGCTGCCTCTGCGCCTGGTCCTGCCCGATGTGCCTCCCTGCCCGGGGTCCTGCCCGATGTGCCTCTGCCCGGGGTCCTGCCCGATGTGCCTCTGCCCGGAGTCCGGCCCGATGTGCCTCTGCCCGATGTGCCTCTGCCCGGAGTCCAGCCCGATGTGCCTCTGCCCGGAGTCCAGCCCGATGTGCCTCTGCCTGCCCCCGGTGTGCCTCTGCCCGAGTGTGCCTCTGCCCGGAGTCCAGCCCGATGTGCCTCTGCCCGGAGTCCAGCCCGATGTGCCTCTGCCCGGAGTCCAGCCCGATGTGCCTCTGCCCGGAGTCCAGCCCGATGTGCCTCTGCCCGATGTGCCTCTGCCCGGAGTCCAGCCCGATGTGCCTCTGCCCGGTGTACCGCTGCCCGGAGTCCTGCCCGGTGTGCCAGTCTTTGATATCCCGCCAGTTACCAGACCCGGGCGGTGGAACATTTTTCCCAGCTAGGACTGTTTGGAGCGTCCTGAGGCCGCTCCTTGAGGGGGGGGTACTGTCAGGAATGGACTGGCCAGCTATGGTGGGACTCACCTGCCTTTTGATCTGCAGTACCAGGGCTGGCCAGCGGGTGTTCCCAGCAATCAGAGACTCAACTTTGCAGCCAGCTAACACCTGTAACTGATTATGCTGGGGTATTTAAGGGATGGCCAGACCCACAGACTCTGCCTTGGTGTGTGTTTGTCCTGGGCCCTGTATCCTGTTTCTGTCCTGTTTCTGTCCTGCATCCTGTTTCTGAACCGCTGCTGACTTCTCCTGCTCTGATCCCGGCTCGCTCCTGACCATCCCTCTGTCTGACCCTCTGTACCACGCTGCTTGCTACCTGTTCTGATCCCTGGCTTGTGACCCTGACCAATCTCCGCTTGCTCCCCCCTCTGGTCACACCTGGGAGCCCTGACAGCAAAACTGAACTAAGACTTGCCAAGCTCTCTGTAAATGCTGCCGGGCCAGTACACAGACTCCGGTTATCACCTTGTCAGATGTCTTATATTAATACACTTTGCTGCATTGCTTGGTCTCTGTGTGCATTCTCCCCTCTCTGGGTACCAGATGCTTGGCTCCGCCTACAAACATTTAGGAAATGAAGATTTATTTAAGTTGGATGAGTGGCCCTGAGGAAGAGAGATGGAAACACAGTATCTTCATTGAGGTAAATGGAAGACACCACTTTCAAACAGAAAGAAAATCTAAGACGAAGAACAAACTTATCCTTATGCAGGACTAGAAAAGGCTTCTTGCAGGACAAGGTCAGGCCACCTGAAAGGCTACTTTTGACCAAAGCATTAATAAATATTTCCCTGATTTTTTCAAAGGGTGGTTTCTGAAGAACAGAAAGCACCAAGTTTAGTTCCAAAGGAGTCAAGACTTAGCTGGTGGGACAACTTGAGTAAGCCCAGTGTGAAGTTTAATTATTTCAGCCTGTCAGGCTCCGATGAGAGATTCTAACTTCATGCTGCATAACCAATAGACACCCCCACATGTTTTCTTAAAGAAGCGGTTGGGTGCAGGAACACATGCAATTTACATGCACTCCCTTCCTGCCTGCCTTGAGCCATTAACTGGGCTTGTTGGCTCTGCCAAGTCATTTGACCACTGTGATTGGCTTTTGCAATGGTCACATGGTTGGGAACCATTTCATTTCTACCGGTTCTTGATCATTAGTACAGACCAAGAGATGTCTTTGACAGCTCAATCTCTGTGCTGGGAGCATGCAGTAAGTGTGCACTTAGCACAGAGACCACTATTGCCCATAGATGCATACAGGTGAAACTCAAAAATTAGAATATCGTGCAAAAGTTCATTTATTTCAGTAATGCATCTTAAAAGGTGAAACTAATATATGAGATAGACTCATTACATACAAAGCAAGATAGTTCAAGCCGTGATTTGTCATAATTGTGATGATTATGGCTTACAGCTCATGAAAACCCCAAATGCACAATCTCAGAAAATTAGAATATTGTGAAAAGGTGCAATATTCTAGGCTCAAAATGTCCCACTCTAATCAGCTAATTAAGCCATAACACCTGCAAAGGGTTCCTGAGCCTTTAAATGGTCTCCCAGTCTGGTTCAGTAGGAATCACAATCATGGGAAAGACTATTGATCTGACAGTTGTGCAGAAAACCATCATTGACACCCTCCATAAGGAGAGAAAGCCTCAAAAGGTAATTGCAAAAGAAGTTGGATGTTCCCAAAGTGCTGTATCAAAGCACATTAATAGAAAGTTATGTGGAAGGGAAAAGTGTAGAAGAAAAAGGTGCACAAGCAGCAGGGATGACCGCAGCCTGGAGAGGATTGTCAGGAAAAGGCCATTCAAAAGTGTTGGGGACTTTCACAAGGAGTGGACTGAGGGTGGAGTCAGTGCATCAAGAGCCACCACACACAGACGGATCCTGGACATGGGCTTCAAATGTCATATTCCTCTTGTCAAGCCGCTCCTGAATAACAAACAACGTCAGAAGCGTCTTACCTGGGCTAAAGAAAAACAGACCTGGTCTGTTGCTCAGTGGTCCAAAGTCCTCTTTTCTGATGAGAGCAACTTTTGCATCTCATTTGGAAACCAAGGACCCAGAGTATGGAGGAAGAATGGAGAGGCACACACTGCAAGATGCTTGAAGTCCAGTGTGAAGTTTCCACAGTCTGTGTTGATTTGGGGAGCCATGTCATCTGCTGGTGTTGGTCCACTGTGCTTCATTAAGTCCAGGGTCAACAAAGCCGTCTACCAGGAGATTTTGGAGCACTTCATGCTTCCATCCGCAGACTAGCTTTATGGGGATGCTAACTTCATTTTCCAGCAGGACTTGGCACCTGCCCACACTTCTAAAAGCAACAAAAACTGGTTCAATGACTGTGGGATTACTGTGCTTGATTGGCCAGCAAACTCGCCTGACCTGAACCCCATAGAGAATCTATGGGGCATTGCCAAGAGAAAGATAAGAGACATGAGACCGAACAATGCAGAAGAGCTTAAGGCCGCTATTGAAGCATTCTTGTCTTGCATTACACCTCAGCAGTGCCACAGGCTGATTGAGGCAGT